TCGTTCTATCCTCTTTCCCTTTCATTTTATTTCACTTTCGCCTGGTGATGAAAATTAATTCTTGAATACATCGTTTTTTGGTTAAAAAATCTTCAAAATTATCGTTCTAATTATAAGTTACCGATCCATGATTTAAACCGTACAGATTATGATATGCTTTAGTCGAAAAATCAACCAAGTTTCACATCACCACTTACCATTTCTATTCAATGTGATGAATGGAAGGGGCAAAAAATAGTGCATAAAAAAAATTGTTCTTGATTTTCTTGCTAATATACTCTATTTTATTTTACGAATGTGAAAACAATAAAATATTTGTCACGTATCAAATGAATTCATAAAAAAAAAACTACATTTATAATTTAGTTGGTAGAGTCTGAATACGCAAACCTTCATTTTCTAAATTTATAATTTAGGAATCTTCTTATTCGCGTGGTTGAATTTTATATATCAGAGGGCATTATTGATTAATGAATATTATTTTTGTGCTTAGTGTTTGGTGGCATTGATTAATCAAATCATAGGAACTTACGATTAGCTAGTGATAACTAAGTCTTCGACCAGAAATTGTCATTTCCCTCTCCATCTAAGCTACCTTCCTTACGTACCAAAAGCTGGTCCTTGAAGTAACTTCATTCTTTATTCACATATACATATATACTTATATATATATTTCGTGGTTGACCTTATCTTTTTTCGCTAATGATTTTTTTCTTATATTTTATGGCATAGTAGATATCATATAATGTTAATTAAATTAAATAACCAATGTACTGTTTCAGGAAAACGAACACTTGGATTATATTCTGTGCTCCGTAACTAGTCTATTATTTTTTTAATAAAAAAACTATATCTCATTATTTTAAATATAAATTATTTATTAGTCCCGTGCATATATATATATATATAGAGAGGGGACGCGCCCTCGTGGCAAAAGTCTGCACCGTATGCATTAATCACGTGAAAACATATACGAGTTTGTAAACATTTATTTTCAAAGCAAATGATTGCATTTACTGTATGGGTTTTTATTATTTATTATTTTTTTTGCAGGTGGACCGACGGTACAACCATTACTGTGAACAAATGCAGATGGTGATGAACTCGTTCGACCTTGTGATGGGTTATGGAGCGGCCGTGCCGTACACGGCATTGGCCCAAAAGGCCATGTCGAGGCATTTTCGGTGCCTCAAGGACGCCGTATCGGCGCAGCTCAGGCACAGCTGCGAGCTGCTGGGAGAGAAAGATGCCGCCGGCTCGGCGTCTGGGTTAACCAAGGGCGAAACGCCGCGTTTGCGTTTGCTTGAACAGAGTCTGCGTCAGCAACGTGCGTTTCACCAGATGGGCATGATGGAGCAAGAAGCTTGGAGGCCCCAACGCGGTTTGCCAGAACGCTCCGTCAATATCCTCAGAGCTTGGCTCTTCGAGCATTTTCTTCACCCGTAAGTTCATCTCTTAATTTGCACCTCTATATCATTTACCCCATTGCATTATTCTTTTAAATCGTCATATATAAATAAATAGTACACACTGCACATATATATATATATATATATATATATAAACACAATTATTAAACTTCATGGTTTTCAAAATCTTTAATGACGTGTCACTTGTAACTCTTGGAGATATAAAGGGCCTTAAAGAACAAAGATTGATAGAGAGAGAAATACAATGCATTGACCCTTATATATATATATATATATATAAGCGTGCGTATGTGTGTGAGATGTTCTTTTTCTGATGTGATACAAATGTGAGTGTTTGCATGGAAAACGATAAATAATTAATAAATAAAGGAGTTTGCAGAGTGATATCACAAAACTTTTAGTGCTTTGGGATCATAATAACATGCCAAATGTCTCTGTCTAATGAAAGCAAACCCTTAATTTCTTTTTCTGGTCTGATCATTACAGATTTTATAACCATAATAAATAAATAAAAGAAAGGTTCAGTTGTCAGTGACGCAGCTGTCCTTTGGGATGTTGTCTCTCTGTGGAAAAAGAATTTAAAGAAGGAAAGAAAAAGTAAATTAAAGGAACAGAAAATAAAATAAAAAACGAAAATAGAAAAAGCTGATACAAAGGGACTTCCTCTCTCATTATTCATCGAAAACTTTCTTTCTTGAATTTCTGATGTTCTTTTCCATTTTGTTGTTAGCGTTGTCAAAGATATGTCGAAGCAAGGCGTGTACTGTTTTTCACCTCTCTGTCATTTTCGTTTTCGATTTATAATTTTTTTAAAAAAAAAAATACAAAAACTGCTTCCATATGTTCCGTGGTCAGCTTTTTCTCTCCTCTCTTAGATTCTCACGCCCTTGTTGTATCTACGTGATGATGATCAAGTCGCATATATATATGTGTGTGTGTGTGTGTATGTTGTGTGAAATGGAATTAGGTTTAAAAAAGAAAAAGAAATGACAGGAAATTAGGGTTTAGGGCTAACATTTGTGATGTCGTTTTCTGGTCTCTTTCTCAGGTATCCAAGCGATGCAGATAAGCACCTCTTGGCCAGACAGACTGGCTTATCCAGAAATCAGGTCAGCCTATATACACACACCTACACAATATTATTCATCCCTCTTTATTTATTTATTTATATATATATATATATATATTAATTGTTAGGATTAATATATATTTTGGTTATTAACAGGAACTGTATTGAATAAGATATAAGCATAATCGAACGAACAGAATTCAACATAGGACGGTTACGACTTTTCTAAGTAAATAAAACAAAATTAAATTTGAATTGGATTGAACCGAATAAAGTGAAAATTTCTTTGAAAAAACGATTTTGTTTACATATAAAAACCGAATATGAACCAAACTGAAATTGGTATAACCACCGAATGGTTATAACTTTTTTATGACCGTACCGAATATAAACTAACCGAACTCGAACCGAAACCCCAAACTTAAACTCCTTTTAATTACTACGAAACCCATTACAAAACACAAGACATGAAATTATTTACATCATTCGTTAATATTTACTATATGAATTCATGCGCGCTGACGTCTTGATCACACACACACATATCATACTCTAGCTAGCTAGGAATATTTATATGTATTTTTTAATAGTATATTGAGTTAATATCCATAGATGAGAGAAACAAATTGATGAGAAAGAGACCACGAATAGCTTCAAGTGAATCTTTCAATAGTTTTGTCTGTTTTTTCTTCTTTGATATATGGCACTGCAACAGCTTATGTTCTCCCCTCCGAGAAAGTAACTTTTCTTGGGATTCGGTTCCACATTCATTATTGTTATTACAACTAGGGACATACATCTTCTCATACATACATCATGTATATATATATATATATATTATATATATGCATATAGGGAGAGAGAGAGAGAGATACTCATCCGAAGTACGTACATCGAAGTTAAAGCGGTTTTCAATTATCACAAATGAACCCACGATTAGTTCACCCACAAAATCCAAATCTTTTTTTTATAAACATACACACAACAAATGCAAAATCTTGATTTTAATAACGTACGTAATTGCAATGCTTGGTACGTTTCAGGTATCAAACTGGTTCATTAACGCTAGGGTTCGTCTATGGAAGCCAATGGTGGAGGAAATGTACCAACAAGAGGCAAAAGAAGAAGAAGAAGAAGAAGAAGAAGGAGAACAAGAAGCACAGCAACAACAACAAAGGAGAAAACAGCAAACAAACAACAGCACGAAACCCAACAACAACAACAGCAGCAGCACCGTCGTTCAGACAAAGGCGCAAACTCCAACGCCTTCAACCACAACCGCAACAGCTACAACAGCAACAGGCCACCACCAAAGATCCGAAATCAATGCCCACGAAACCGACCCTTCACTGCTCCTCCCTCCTTCCCCATCCGCTGCGTTCGCCGCCGCCGCCGTCGCAGCCGCAGATTTCGGGACTGCAAACGCGAATACCGGGGATATTGGAAACCCTAGCGGTGGTATAATGAGGTTCGGGACCAACCCGTCCGGTGACGTGTCGCTTACGCTTGGTCTACGCCACGTTGGCAATATGCCGGAGAAAGAACCTTCTTTCTCCGTTAGAGACTTTGGAGGTTTTTAGCTTGGTTCCTCTCTCTTTTTTTTTCCTCTCTCATTTTATTAATTAATTAATTATAGTTTTATCAAAGCCCTTTTAAGCTCGCAGACTTTAGCCCTTTTTGTTTTTTGTCCTCTTCTGTATCTCTAAAAAAGAAGAAGAAAAGATACATAAATTCACATCCCATCTTTCCTTTTGTAATATATAGTGTCTTAAGATCTTTCGGTGTTTCCTCATCAACAATGCAATATGTACAACCTATGATTCTGTATACATTTTGTTATATCTTTATATTTATATATGCGATTTTGTTTTATATATATATATATATATATTATTGCAAATATTACTTACCACTGCCGATTTAAGGGTTTAGATGCGGAGTGTTGCGATTGAATTAGAAAAACTATATATGTAAGTTTTTTTAAAATGTTTTATCGGCATATAACTCGAGACAATGTTAGGAATTTCAAAATGCTCATATAATAATAGGTTCTTTAAATTCATTGTCATTGATATTGCAAGGAAACCAACGGATTGAATTAGAGTGTTTCCTTGTAATCTGCAACAATAGTTCCTAATGCCTTAAAACATCAATTTCATTTTACGGATGGTTCCCTTGCCAATTTTTTTAAAAAGTGATACAATAATTTAAATCAATTCAAACGTCAGTTTACTTTTCTTTTTCTTAGATGGCATGGATATGGAGTTGATCATATTTTTTTAGATAACATAATAATTTCAATTAGTGTCAAGAATGAGACATGTGCATATATTTACTTGTATTCATGTGTTACTTGTATGATTCGGATCATGAGAAAAACGATACATATAGTGAATGTGTTAACTTATAAGGAGGAAAATTGCTTTTTGTCAATTTCCTTATTCATATATTTTAACTGTCAAAAGTTTTCGATACATATGGTGAGGTTTCCTTCTTGATTTGGTGTGGGTATATTCTTCTATACATTAGGAAAGTGAGGTTTCATTAGCTTATGTCACTTTTACCGGTCTATTCATATATATATAGCTTATTATTTTTGTTTACAAAATTCAATTAAAGTGTCATCATGCAATACATATTAGAGTGATATAATTCCAACATATATATATATATATATAAAGAATATAGTCTACACTCTTTAATTAGACGCTTTCATATACCTATAAGAGTGTGATGGTCCATAACATGCTCAAAGATTTTAAAGGATATCTCATATACGGAACAACGAAATGTCCAAAGTGATACAAGAACAAAGAAACATGGAGATGAATCATTTTCCATCATTGCCATGAATAATGTAACTTTCCCCTTTTTCTTAAAGATTTTTTTTTAAAACCAATCTAACGTTTATCTCATTAAATGTATATGATATTTACTAAGTACAATTACTTCAATGGGAGTGTGGTCCTTATGTAACCCCCCCCCCCCCCTTATCTATGGGAGTGTGGTCCTTATGTAACCCCCCCCCACCTTATCTGATCACTGTCCTTAACGCACTCTCATCAATTAATGGGGCAAATTTCATTATATATACACACATATATATATATATATATATGAGAACCTTTGAAGGCATTTATTTTGTCTTTAGTTGCAACAATTAAATGCAGAAGAAAGTGGCAAGAAAATCCATATGCATGGGTGTTAGATTCTTAATTTAATGGTGGAGGACCTGCCTTCCATAATTCTAGCCCTAGGCAATCAACTGTATATATACACACACTCCTTTGTATACATCCAATCTCTCTCTTGGATTTCCGACAAGTGTGGGGACCACACGATGATGAAAGTAGAGCGAAGACAAAACGAGAGAAGCGGGCCCACTCTAATGGGTATTTGGGCCTGGGCCCATCTGTGGCACCGCAGTCTTCATCGACCAACGAAACAAATCAACGAATTTATTATACGTTCAACGACTTCTATACGAAACTCACCTTCTTTGCTTTTTCTTTCTTTCTTTTTTCGCTACTAGTCATCTTTGCATATCGAACGAATTTATAATCAAGCGACAAAAATATGCAATAATAAATAAATAAATAAAATTAATTTAAATAATCAATCAAGAATAATATTAATGGCACCATATTAACTCAGATTCGGTAGTGTGCTTACATGTGGATATTACATATATCAATGCAATCGTATTTCCTGAAAGGAAAAAAAGAATAAAATACCTTAAAGAAACTATTTACAAGAATCACTCCCCGAAGCTCTACATAATTTGATACACAACGAAACACTGAAAATAATTCTTTCTCTTATTCAAAGTATTTTTCAGAGAAAATTCTTCGAAATAAATATTAGACATCCCAATGCTTTTATTTTGCATCCTTAATTACAGTTCGATATATATTTTCTAATTCGTAAAAGAATTCATACTATTTCATAGTTATATACGGATTTATTCAAACCCTTTTGGTCCCTCCTTTGGGCGTTTTTCAATAAATACAACAGTTTTGGGAATATTTGTAAAATAAAAATAAAAATAAGGCTGATGTAGAGATATAACTCAAGTGGGCTTTGATTCCCAAACTCTCTGTTTTATTGGGCCCAATATCTAATTGAAGTTGTAGCGTGAACCGGTCAAATTTCAGTAAACCGGATTTTGAATCGGGTCGGTTATTGATGGGTTTGGCAGAATCAGAAGTCGTCGTCTTCCCCTCCCCACGATCGATCATGGAAGTGGATCTGACTCTGTGTTCCAAACCTTCTTTTTATGAACTTCATTAGATTTTTTTGTACTCTCTCTTCCACTAAACTGAGAAAATTCGAGGTTTAATACTTCAAAGCTCGTGAATTTGAAGGAGGAATGGCGAAACCCAGAAATATTTTCGCCGTTTGTTCTATGCTTATGTCTTTGTTGTTCGCTTACTCTGCATCCGTCCAGCTAAACGATCCTGGTATTTAAAAAAAAAAATCTTTTTTTCCCGCTCTGCATAATTCTGTGATTATGACAACACAAGGGAAAAAAGTTTCGAAGACTCCTTTTGATTTTTCCCCAGATTGGTATTTCTGGTTTCCGGTGTACGCAATGGCATGTGCCGTGAATCTGATGAACTGCGGAATCTCATCCGGCACAAGAGGAATCGGACAGATGAAGAAGACAGCATTAGGGTTTGGTCTGTTCTTGTTTGTCAAGGTTGTCTTGGAGGATCTGACGACAAACGCGGCTGGTTTCTTGTCTTTGGATCTCACTCGCAGAGTCGTCAGAGAGAAAATCGGAAGTGGGTTAGTGGTGGCTTCCATGGCTCTGCACCTGCAAGCTTCCTCACAAGAACGCAAACTCAGAGGGGAAAAACACGATTCGGCGAACTGGCTTCACCTCGGTAAGAAAATTGCTCCCTGAGTTTCAATTTTTTTTTTTATCAAAATCAGATCTTTTGCCACTGCTTCAAAGGCTCGTAATCTATTAATCATGTCATGTTCTCCTTTAAGTGGAAGGATTAATCACGTTAACAAGATCATCAACACGGTTAACCATATGATTAATCCCACAGGAATGGGTGCAACAGTTGTCTTTGGTTATGGACTTCCCGTTTGGTTCTTCACAGTTCAGAAGGGTGAAATGAAGTTATGATCAGACTGTAGTAACTCTCTGTACTCTGTGTGTTCCGTGTTCTTGTCTAAAGATTTCAGAAAGCTTGTCTAAGGATCTCTTCCATGGAAGATAACAGAATGATCTAAAGCCTGAGGCATCTTATAAACAGATCTGAAAACTGCAAAACAATCTGCATGGCCATTGTTTCTCGATGGCAAAGGCACCCGAAACGGGAAAGATCAAGAAATGGAAGAAAGGAGAAAGATGAATCGGAGAATGTACCGGCAAGGTTCCTGAGCTCCGAGGTTTTTGGAACCAAATCTAGCGCAGACGGCCCACAATGGCAGGGATGTTCTTGTCCAGACAATAACAGCTGGTTTCCATAGCCACAGAGTTAGTTCCTCTCCTTCAGCGATCTGTCAAAGCAAGTAATGAAGTCCACCCACTGCTCTGAAAGATATTTTCTGATTGATAGATAGCCATATATCCCAAAATTCCCGACCAAAGCTTCGGTCATTGGTCTTATTTTCCAAAATGGGCATTGGCAATTCTCCGTCAGATGGGTGACCAATTCTGGTTCGACTCCGATTAAATTCGGCTACAGATATTTAAGTCTGGTACGTAAGTAAAATTATAACTATTAGGTTTATATATAATTTCGATTTTATTCATTTTTTCTGATTTCATTTGTTTTGGATTCGGTTTTTTATTTGTAAAAAAATCATTTTTTAAAAACAAAATCGGTTTTTTCAATTATTTTTTTTATTACGGTTCGAATGGTTTTTAAGATTCAAAAAATTTATAACCGTCCAGTTTTATATCTTATTCAATTCGATTACGATTGGTGATATCGGTTTACAGGGTTGTTGGGCCTTGAAGCCCATTCATCGTTTTGGGTCTTTTTCATAGTTGGTCCCACTTGGACCCCGGTCTGTCCGTACGAGATTATAAAATGGGCGTGGAGATTTTTGTTACATTATATTTATTCCTTTAAAAACAAAAATCACAATTCTTGTTGGTCAGATCGCCAACCAAGTTGTCCCCTCTCAAACCTAACCCTCCATTTTCTTCGATGAAAAACAAGGACCCACCACATTTACACATACTTGTCAATGGCGGTATATACATTAATATATATATATATATATAATTTTTATTAAAAGAAAAATTAATGCTCCAATGGGAACATTGTGGCCATTCATTTAATTTACCTAACTGGTTGTCATTAATTTTGTGAATATTTCTTGTTTCATGTAACTGTAAGCAAAGAGAGAGAGAGGGAGAGAGAGAGAGAGAGAGAGAGAGAGAGAGAGAGAGAGAGAGAGAGAGTAAAGGAGAAATGCCTTTTCGCTGGTTTATGATTGGCATTGACTCTCTTGTCCAAACTCGTATAGTTCAGCTTTTTCCTTGTCTTATTTGTATGGATTCCCCCCTCCTTTTTCAACTTTTTTCCAAACTGCCCCAATCGTTTGTTTTCTCCATTTTTACCCCCACATGTAATTTAATAATTACATAAATCTTTGTTATTATGAATAAAGGTTTTCTAATTGAGCTTACCTCCTCCACCCTTTTTTTTGTCTAATCTCCTGCGAGTTATCTTTTTTATTAATTAATTAAATATTAAAGAATGGCATTAATACAGATCATTAGGCTCCTTAATTAGATCCATTAGAGCATGTTTGTCTATCTTCTTCTGACAAAACTTGTGATCCAATCTCTTCACTTGTTCCATCCACATGCGCCCCATCTATATTCTAAATTAAGCTCCCACACTTTTTTTTAAAAAAAAGAAATACTTTATGTGGCATCTCTTAATAAAACTATATAATGAGATAAAATAGAAGTTTCATTTGCCTATTTATTTACTGTAAAACCCAGAAAAAAAATAAAAACTAAAAAAAGGCAAAATTTTAACAGCTACTGGTAAATTTGTATTTTTTTTATGTTATAAATCTCAATATCCATTTAATTAAATTCACTACCGTCCATTTGCTTTGGTTAAATAAATAATTAATTACTTATTTGTTCTGATTTTTTCTTAATCTGCGACTAAAATAAATCCAATCCAATTGACTACTTGATTAAATTAAATGGGTCTTACAAATCTTAATCGTTAGAATTATATGGTATAAATCAGAAACATTTGTGAAAACAAAAATAAAGATGAACACAAGTTTATTATATTAATTTTATTCATGCATGAAGAATTGTGTATTAGATCATAAAATCTAAAATTCGGTTATGATTTTTACAAACTGCATGTTTTTATCTAAAAACCCCAATTTTTTTAATGGATTGAATTATTTTAAACTTTACAGAATGCAACTTCTTTTACACGAGTTTTATCCAAAACGTTTATATGTTTTCCGATATCAGTTGAATTAATTAGTCATCAATCAGCCATAAAAACGAAATCATTATTAGGGTTTTGATTGCGCAATTAACTCTAACAAAACAACAGGACGATTTTTTTGGAAAGAAATACAGAAAGAATATAACCATATATATTTTTTTGTTTAATTTGTCTAAGGGCAGGTGAAAAATCAAGACAGAAAGTGAGACCTGTCCTTGTCGCATATATTTATATACATATAGTGGTTACTTTTTGTTTATCTTTTGGCTTTTGTTAAATATTTATATTAGGGATAAATAATTAGATAATTTTCAGTGATTCTGTTGACAAAACGAGAGTCTTCTTGACACTCCAGGACAATTAGGGTATCTGGGTTTATTTAAAATTCAACCAAAACTCCACCAAAAGGAAAAAAAAAATCAATGTTTAACAAAAAGAAGGTAAATTTATATTTTTTTATTATAAATTTTGTCTATATCAAACGCTAGAAAACAAAAAAGGGAGAAAAAAACATATAACATATAGTTGGATTATGTGGACATCACATATCACCGTACAGTAGTAAAAAAACAATTTAGTCTATGTGAATGACCACCTAAAAAGATGTAACGGTTCACGAAATAAACATACGTATGTTAATGGACATGCTAATATTAAACAATAAATGAAAAATCGATCCATATTATAAGAGATGCATTAATAATAATCCAGTTATTTTTATATAACAAATACTAATCACGACGTACTATATTATACATGGAATTCTTAAAAGTATTGTTTCCTGATTAGTGGTTAATGGTTACTAGTTATCCTCACTAACCACTGCAAATAATCTGCTCATTAGTTGGCCTAATCGTTTTTTTTTAATCTTTTACCATCGATCGATTTTAGATATAATACTACTAACAAAATATTTCACGTGCCCAATAAGAAAACTCCTTGGCATATACAAGTATTTCTTATTATGCTATTTAACTCCATATATAACCATAAGTTTTAATTTCGAACCCAAATTTGGGTGGCCTAGTGCATGCTCTCACCTTGGGTTTAAATCCAAGCGTGGGGAGGGACATTCATTTGGGCTTCCCCGGTCCTCTGAGAGATGTAGTCGGGTCAAAAACCCGGTGAACTTCCGGATTATCCAAAAAAAAAAAAGTTTAAATTTCGATCTAATTTCTGCATATTATTATGATGGTTCATCGAATATGATATTCCAAAATAACATAATTCAAATGACAACGGCTTACTAAACAGTTCAATTATTAATTTATATCACAAGTTTTGTTTATTTTAAGAGAAGCATGAAATCTTGAGAAGTTCGTCAAAGATTTATACAATTTAATATCGCAATTTAACCATTGTAAGAAGAATGAAACGGGTTTGATATGAGATATAATACATAATTAGAAAATTACACACACACACACACACATATATATATATATATATATGTGTGTGTGGGATCCATATAAGTGGTTATATATATATATATATATATATATATATATATATGGATGTGTATTGTGTACAAACTTATGGGAATGTAACAAGGAAAAGGTGAAAACCTTGTAGCATCCTAAGACCTATGGATGTAGAAGAAAGAGTATGGGACAAAGGGCAATACGACGGTTCACCAACTCCCCACTAGTATCCCGACAATTCCTTAGAATATTTTTTTATTAGAATATTCATCCTTGGGTATAGTTTTTATTAGAAAAATAATTATATTTAAATGCATTTCGTATAGTTACCATGTGTATAGTTTTAAATCAGTCCATCACAAAAAATAGAAACCCAATAATCCAAAAAGTTTTCTCTATTAAAAAGCAAACAAGTTCCTAATAAAGTTGAAGGGGGATATATTAGAGACATATGGTTATAAACTATCTTGTGGAATATAATATGTGGACGTATGTATAAGTATTATAATTATCGAAAGAAAAAAAGAGTAGTTATATAGTTGTCGTAAAATATATAATCGTTATCTGTGATTCAAATAGCAAAGGATTGAGTAAATTTTTTTTCAATATAAATTTGAATCTTTATTTGAAAAAAAATATTTACATGAACTTTGAAATATATAATTGGATCGAATTAACAATGCATTTTCAAATTATAAAAAAATATATAATTAATACGGATTATAAAAAATATGTATATATAATTATATATATATATATATATATATATTTGTTCTTTTTTTAAAAATCTATTTTCCTCTTAAAAGCCCACGAGTTGGTTTTGTGCTTTTAAGGCGAAAAGAAGTCTACGATTACAAAAAGGTTTATTATAAAGGCGGTGTTAGAATGATGATGAGGTGAAAGGTGAGTCAATTTTTTTTTTTCTTTTTAAAAATAAAAACCGAAATCTCTTAACTTATTTTTTTGCTTCCGTGAGGGAAAAAAAAAATCAAATCTTTTGGCTCGAAGACGTCAAAGTCTTTAGATTGGCTCTGCTATATTTCTGGCTGTATATGTGTCGTTTCCCTTTTTCCTAAGCTGAGAAGATCACTTTCAGAAGCTCAGATTTTGCTCCAATGGCGTGAAAGAAGACAATTGGAGGTTTTGGAGTGTAGTTCTTGTGATTCATAAATCTGCGGATGACCATTCTGTTCCTGTTTTGTCTGTAAACAAATCCGTCCGGACATTCTCGTTCTCTGTCACATTAATTCGGGTGATCTGAGTTCTTCTTCTTCTTTTTTTTTTTTTTAGGATTTCGAAAGTTCAAATCTTTGTCCACGATCTAACCCCCAAAAAAATTTAACCAAGGTTTATAAAAAAAATGGGTGTTATAGGAAATTCCGGGAGATGAGATTCGAAGAAGGCGAAGACAAGAAAATGCAGGAACATATACACACTCGTTCAAAGAGGTTGGCTTTTCTTTTTCTTTTTTGCCTTTCTGTTGTTCTGTTTGCGTTTACTGCAGATTTTTTCTGGGTGTGAATGCTTCTGTGATGGGTCGTTCCCAAATTTGGTAACTAGGGCTGTTGAAATCCCTCAGATGCACCCATTTTGATGCTAGATGGACCAATTCACTACCTTTCTTCTGTAAATTTCATCCCTGAGTTTTCTGGTCCTGATGATAAAGTTGGGTTTTTTTTAATGGAAGAAAGGCAACTTTTTTAAGGTGAATCAAGGAAATGGATTTAGGTTTGGTTTGGGAGCAAAGAATGTGGCTTTAGTTTCTGAAGTTGATGGGTCGCTATGCAATGTAATCTATGTTATGGAAAGCAAATGTTTTGATTTTGCTGTGTCCGGATCCATTCTTTAGCTGTAGTTTTCCAGAAAAGCAAAGACTTGGAGATGATGATGGCATTGGTTGTCCTCCGGGTTCTTCTCAACGCCTCAATCTTGTAAGTTTTTTTGTATCTCTCTTGTGCATCTGTTTGATCAGCTCGAGCATGATTCCTTTAGGAAATGGTAATGTCATCCATGGAGGGCTCAAGGCTATGTGATCTGCCCTATTATGCTGTTGATCTCGCATATCAAGGCTCTTTTTAAAGACCCTTTTTGACATATGATACCCTTAAGGAAATGTGCCATGTTTGATCTTGCTTCAGGAGCTCCATCATTCTAATGAATCTGTAAAAACCGAGAAGAAGCTACCGCAGAGCGGAAATGGCCATAGTTCTTTGAAGCAAGAGGTTGGAAATGAAAAATTTTCCTTGTGGTTCTGCTTCTATACAGTGCTTTCCGAGATGGTTGCTGATTGCATTGTTCTTTCCTTTCCGGGCCTCGGTAATGCAGATTCTAGAGCTCGAGAAAAGATTACAGAACCAGTTTGACGTCCGCCGAGATTTAGAGAAGGCATTGGGTTATAGAACATCTTCTAAAGACGGCAACGCAAATGTTGTCTCCTCTCCAAAGGTATACAATTCATATGTGGTTAAAGGTTATGTATGTAACCATGGAGTTTCTGATATTTGTTTAGTGAAACTCTTACACTTTTATATTCTGCAGCCTGCCACAGAATTAATCAAGGAGATTGCTCTCCTTGAGTTAGAAGTTTCACATTTGGAACAGTACCTCCTTTCCCTATATCGTAAAACATTTGATCAACAAATATCATCTGTTTCTCCTCCAACATCAAAGCAACAGAGCTCGAGTTCACCGAATTCTACCCTCAAAGCAAAGTGCCTAGATTTCTCAAGAACAGATGTAACCCCGAAACAAGAAGCTTCAGCGCTCGAGTCCCGGTGCTTCTCTTTCGACAATAGACTGAAGGGTCCGTCTTTTGTCGAGAGGGAATTAGATTCAAATGTTCGTCGATGCCAATCCTCTCTTAATCAGCGTTCTGCCTTCAATAACAGAATCTCTCCACCGGAAGAGTCTCTACTTGCTTGCCACTCCCAACCATTGTCCATAAAGGAGGTAATTTTAAATCTAAAAATCTTATTCATCGTTACAATATTCACCATCTGCACATTTGTAAAACATTGTCTAAACCATACTAATGCATACAGTACATGCAAAATGGATCGAGTATGATCAGCCTTGCTGATCACTTGGGAACCCGAATATCTGATCACGTACCCATAACACCGAACAAGTTATCTGAAGATATGATTAAGTGTGCATCAGCTATATATTGCAAGCTTGCAAACCCACCAGTGATGAATCACGTCCTTTCATCTCCAAGTTCGTCTCCTTCATCGAACGAGTTTTCCCTCCATGAGCAGTATGATATGTGGAGTTCAAGCTTTAGAAAAAACTCGTACTTTGATGGGCAGTCGGATAATCAATTCGAGTTCAGTGGCCCTTACAGTTCAATGGCTGAAGTGTTGCACATTTACCGCAACCGAAAGAAAGGACGTGGCCTTGAACTGATGCTTCGAAATTTCAGGTCAGCTTAACAGAAACGACGTTTTATTTGGATTTCCTTTGTCTAGTTTTCGGGATTCTTATGGAGTTGCAGTGCCATACAGCTCGCTTATTAGCCAACTGGAGGGTATTGATCTGAGAAATTTGACTCATCAGGAGAAACTGGCATTCTGGATTAATGTACACAATGCACTTGTGATGCATGTAAGGCTTCTTATTTCTTCCCATTTGATGTTTTTTCCTTTTAAATAGTCGGTAAAGTCGGATAGGTCTGTCTTTCGTCTGTAGACATTTCTGGCTTATGGGATTCCACAGAACAATGGAAAGAGATTTTTGCTACTCTCGAAGGTATCTATCCTTTCTTTCTTGCCCCGAGAACAGAAAATGTGGACCCGGAATGAAAAAAAGAAACTTGCTTGCTTGCTCCAAGAACGAAAATAAGAACGGAGGTCGGGTATTGGGGCTCTTATCATATTGAGGCAATTTTCTGATTCTTTGGGTCTGGTTGTATTGTATTGTCCAGCCTGCATATAACATAGGAGGTCGGGTAATGAGTGTTGAAACGATACAAAGTTCGATTCTTTGCAGCCGATTGCCACGTCCAGGACAGGTAAAACCTTTCTATATATACCTGTAAGATTTTACGATATGACCATCTTGTGAAACCTCAGTAAAAGCCTTTCTCTTCTTGCTTGCAGTGGTTTCGATTCTTGCTTACTCCGAGAAAATTCAGAACCAGTGATGAACAGCAAGAACTTTCTCTCGATCACCCTGAGCCCCTCTTGCACTTTGCCCTCTGTTCAGGCAGCCACTCTGACCCGGCGGTAAGCCATACATAGCTGTATAATACGCATTTACCATCTCCTGAAACTGCATTTTGGATGTGAAATGTGAAATCTTGAAGGCGATTCTTGGTTTTAGATCCGTGTTTATACGCACAAGAGGGTATACCAAGAGCTGGAAACTGCGAAAGAAGAGTATATCCGCGCTACATTTGGGATAAGAAAAGGCCATAAAATACTCTTACCAAAGATAATCGAGTCGTTCAGACAAGACTCGGGTTTAAGTCAAGCGGCTCTGCTGGAGATCATCCAAGAATGTCTGCCCGAACCATCGAGGAAATCCGTCAAGAAATTCGTGTCGGGAAAAACCCGAAAGAGCCTCATCGAATGGATCCCTCACAATTTTGGTTTCCGGTATCTGATAGCGAAGGAGCTCATCAGATAATGTAAATCCCTTCCTCTTGCTATTGGTTTTTATTCTTTGTTTTGTCGGAGGACGTGCAATGTATGAAAAGTACATAAATGTATGTAAGGTAGATGATATAGAGCAGAACTGCGTGTTGTTTTTTGTCTCAACTCCGGAGTGATGTTTGAAGCAGTAATATACATATGTCAATTCATGTAAATCGGTGCTTACGTGGGCTTCGTTCTGCATTTAATACCACACTGGCATTGGGCTTTTTCAAAGAAAAACATTTCTTTTTTTTTTCATAATTTAGTTAATTTCCGCACTATATTGAGTTGTTTTTTTTTTTGGAATTTAAAAACTTATTTGGTATAAAATATTACATATTTGAAAGTTTGAAACAACACCATGTAAATATTTGTAATCATATAAAATATCAATAGAAAATATGTATCAGTAGATATTTAGAATACATTATAAGGTCACATAATATAAATCTCTTCCTGAGTATTTACGTTTAGGGGTGTAAATTTTATATCCGAATCCTAAATCTGGTCCAAACCCCCTTGAAAAATGTCGGATTTTGGGTTTAGTTCTTCGACCCATAAAAAATTGGGTTTTTGGTTTGATATCCGAAAATCTGATATTTTTTTCTATTTTTTTTAATTTATAAAAAAATGAACTGGTTGATCTGGAATGATCCGATCTGAATCTGAAACCTTTAGATTTAATTATATAGACTCCAAAAAAATTGGACTGGTCCGAACCCGAACTCAAAATCCTCGGACCGAGTGAAGACTCGGATCGCCCAATTGACATCCCTATTTACGTTACTGTATCTAAAATGTTGTTCAAAGTTTTGTATTGTAGGGACGACGGTCCAATTATTAGGGAGTTGAAGACTTGAAGTAGGGTAGAGATATTTAATTAACATACAGAGAAAATAAGATCCGTATATATAACAAATGTTCCAAAGAGTGTGTGGCCATTATTTCCTTGTTTTATATGCCTCGTTATTTGTATATTTGGACTCTTTTAGCAATGACTTTTTTTTTCTATTGTTTATTATAAATTTGGTTAATCTAATTCAATGTTTTAACTTATAATATGGAAAATGAATATAATGGTCTAGACGTGGGACCAGGTGGTTTCACTCTGCCCGTACAGTCTCATAAAAATGTTGTTGAAATTTGTCACACCCACTTGCTTATTTCTTCACCATTATTGCGTTTCCACTATTAGTGGTTCGCAATGTACATTAATATACGACATACAATACATATATGTATTCATGTGTATATATATAACATGACAAAATAATTATTTTTATAAATAGTAAATGGAATGGTTTTCGATCCATTTAATCTCTCGGAAGGATTCAATATTTAGTCACGCAATTAATTATGTTTTTTTTCTCTACTAGTTAATTTGAATCCAAAATTTTAAAATGATTTTATCACATCTCACCCGTTACGGTTGGATTAATACGACAAAATACATGTATACAGGTTGCGAAACGTATTCATGCAATGCGAGAATATACATGTCCAAACAAAAAATGTAATGAAAACATGAGATCGGAGATGGTGATCAAATAAACCAAATAAATTCCAAACAGCTGTAACCAAATAAACCAAAACTGTAACAAAAAAATTGCAGTTCTTTAAAAAAATCCAAAAAGTTACAGTGAGGGGACCGAACAGGGTGACGTGTCACAGACCGAACTCCTCGGGCGAAGTGTCACCAGTTGATTCGCAAGGACAATCATAATAACTATAAGCCAAATTACTGAATTTGCGTGATATTAATTTACTTAATTACAAGTTATCAAAACCAATTGTTATGGGAATATATGTGTTTTGCTTTTGATTAGATCTTATAAGTCATAAGGAAAATAAGGAATTAAGTTTTAGATTAATTAATCCATTAATAAGGAAAACTCAGATTCAATGAATGATTATTAGGCTTAATTTCGTCTAATGAAAGAGATCCATACTTGCAGTGATAAACAAAATTCATGGAACAAATGGAAAATGGTCAATCCCCTAATATTTAAATATTCATATAATATAATACCACGTCTCATTAAAAAAAAATACTACATTGTAACTAAACATTTTTCCCTAATTGGGTAATAGTAAAATAGCAAATGTTTAGAAATCATCCAAATATTTTTAATAATAGTACCAAAAAATTAGCTTATTGTGGGCACAAACATATATATACACGTATATATATATATATCAACGTCCAATGAAAACCGCGTAGCGAGATCATTGGGACGAGTCACATGTTACATTCGCCTCTTAACCGTTGAATACTTGAATGTAACGATCCATTTGCACGAATTATTTAGCTACAAAGGACCGTTTTAATATTATCGGTTGCATAGTTTTTTTTTTTTTTTTTTTTTTTTTTTTTAAAAAATGAAATTTAAGAACAAAGATTTTTTTTGGTAATTTTTTTTTGTACACAACACCCCGTAGGGTAAAATCGTAACTTTGAGTTGGGGAAGCGAGAGATAACTCCCCCGCATAATTACGCTATTCACAGATTTAACCCCAAATATTTCACTAAATCCCAAAAATGCCCTTCACTCGTCTATCTTACTCAACCTCGCCGCAAACTTCCTCCTCCCACTACAACTACCACCGCTGCCGCCGCCGCTGCCGCTTCTCGCTTTCCTCACGCCAGCACTTGACCCCACCGTAACATCACCGGCGGTGACTCTCTGTCGAAGCTTATCCGCCGGGAAAACGACAGGAGCGGAGCATCTCCGGCGGCAACGGCATTTTTCCCGGCCGCAGCCTCTCATGAGAGCGGAGCTTGCTTTGACGGCCAATGCGGCCATCTCCTCCGCCTGAAGGGAGCGACGGAGCCAGCTCAGCGGGAGAGCGAAGTAGAGGTGGCCGAGCTGGAGCTCCTCGTCGGCGCTAATGGCGGATACGACGTCGTCAAAGTCCATATCGTCGGAGTTGCAGATGAAACTCATCGGATACTTCTGAAGGACGTAACCCACCTTCACCGGATACGTAAACTCCATCATCCTCCCATCTTGTAAGATCAGCTTGGCCGTCGCCACATGTGTCGATTCGCACGAACTGCAAATACCCATTTCTTCTTAGGGTTCGTTTTTTTTATCTGAATCGCCGCCGCGACTCGCTGAGCCGTGACCCGGTTTCCGGTGAGAGAGAGAGAGAGAGGAGGTCGATACAGAGATAATGGGAGAGGGAAAGGTATTCGGAATTTATATATAGGAGCGTGGAAATAGATGCCACGTTGGATTTGTCGTTTAGTGATAATCTCTCAGTGGGGTGCAATGCCAGGCTGGCGAGATGACAGCTACATGGCGCTTTGTAATTGCCCTCGTTTCTGCGTATAATTGCCATCGAGGGACTGCCATTTATACGATTTATGGTGTCCAATGGTAAAAACAATACTAATAAAAAAAATTGTTACGACTACATTGCCACTACCACGTTCATCACGAGGACGAATTAAAATGGACCGACGTCGTATTCTAAATTCGTACGTATTACGAAATACATTAATGTTTTTTTATATGTTGAAGATATAATGATTTTTTCGCACGATTAATCCCAAAACATTCTGGGACTAATTGTGATATAAAAGCGAATATATTACATAGTGGCATACACTTGTATTGGAAAACGGTGCTATAATGTAACAATGAATGAAGTTTACCGAATGTGTAGTGTAAATAATATATATATATATATATATATATATATAAATATATATGATTGTATATGCACGCATTCTCATAATATGGGTGCTCTGGCTCTTTTTAATTGGAAGATACCTAATATCCTCCACTACGCAGTGAAACTAGATGGGCCATTTATATTCTCCCTTAATTGCTAACGTGCACATTTTATAAAAGCACCTCGAAATTCAAATGTAAAGATTTAAATTTTGTTTTCCTGTCATTTAAATCCATGACCCCGATTGGCCAAAAATATGGACACAAACCCTTTAATGTTATTTAATATGACGACGATAGCATGCATGCACATATATATATATATATATATATATTTACGTACCTGCCTCTTGACTCGTATGTATATATTGTTTTAAAAACTTAAATTCATTGTTTTAATTGCACATTTAGAAAGTAAATTTGCAAGCTATGATTAAATTAAGCCTAATATAATAATTATAACCTTTAACCTATACTTCCATTTCAAATGCTTTTGCGACCATGGTTTTGCTTTTACGTATACCTTCCGTTGGTTTTGAACCTTTGATTTATCAAGTTGCTTAAGGATTAAGAGATATAATATATATATAACAAGAGGTGAAAAGAAAAGCACACTTGACGTAAAGTGTGATGGTATAAATCCAACAATTTAGTTCGCTATTATTTATTAATTACATATGATTGTATCTTACAAACCACGTGTCAAGAATTGGACGAAAGCTAAAGCTGATGTGGCCATATTTCATAAAACACGCGTCAAAAAGACCCATCCTTACGATGACACGTGTCGTTATTTCCATCGTAATCTGGGTTCTCACGTAAACTCATTGCTTTCCGCTGACCAGATAAACTTTCGGCGCGAGAACAACCTTTGTATATGGATTATATAAATCCAAAAATTATCTCTCTCTTTATCAGTCAGAAATCGAACATTCAATTTCAAAATAGAGTTATCTTCTACTTTAAATTTGACCATTCGTCCACGATATGTTGGACAGTAATAATATCTGTTGCTCCTAAGCAAAATAATAATGGACCAACATCGTTACACGTTAAGGTGATAATTTTCCCGTGTTGTCGCATATTTTTTAAATCTGTATTACACAATTTTAAATGCATATTCCTATATAAATATTAATGATATTGGAATGAATTAATAACACGACGGAAGAATTTTGAAGTCTCGTGGGAGACAGAGAGAGAGAGACAGGGTGTACCAATGTGTTTAAGTGATTAATTTAGATTTTAGAATGTCAAAGTATGCTTGTCGGTTGTAATACACTCATAATCTGTGTTTATATTTTGCTACAAGATCATGTCTTGTTCCCTTGTGCATACGTGTGTATGCGTTTAATTAGTTAATTGATTTATATATAATGAATTTATTTTTAAATAGATATTTCTAATGCATATAGCTTGATTGATTCTGTAAATTAATTAATATTTTCCCCAACGGTTGTGCTTTTAATAATGATTGAAGAAAGAGTAGATCACATGGCCTTTGTGAAGCTTCGTGGATCCTCGCCACCGTTGGGATAATTATTGAACCAATTATCGCCCTTTTGGACTTAATCGGAAGAAGAAGAAGAAAAAACTTGGGGTTTTTTTTTTTAATTGTTCAACATATTCAATAACCATCTATAGTGCATTTTTTCAACTAAAAGTCGCAATATTTTTAAAATTTAAACTAAAATCTAACAAATAAAATATAAATTATTTTGAAAAAATAAAACGGACGCATATACTAAATTACGAATAACATAAACTTGATTAAACAAAATGATTACCGTTTTGGTTATATTTGTAAAGAAAATGGGTACCAACTTTCTTACAAATTATTTTTAATTCGCGATCGTATCGTATGATCTTATCATGAATTCAATATAATTTTGGTGCGACAAGATGGTAATATTTTAGCTAATTAATGTACTAATATGTGCGTGTTTATAATTACTCACATCCATGCAAATAGGTAGATCGATGATCAATTGTATGATTATTGATAAGTTTTTTTTTTATAGATAAAATTTGAATAATTAAAATTCCAATTTCCAACTCAAATCTCACGGGAGAGCATGTGTGCGAAGGGGAGCCAATTTAGACTGGTCAAAGCTTTTAACGACATAAAATATATAATCCCACGCCAACATGCAATAGTAACAATTCTATACATATGCTTAATAATCCCTCTCATATTCAAATGATCCTTACATATTTTGTTGTTATAATGAAAATGGAGGTTATGCGAATTCTTAGGTTTGTTTTTGGACGATGGTATGTTGTCAAATTTTCAATATTTGTATATTACATGTTTTAATTAATTGGTAATATCTTTAATTATAATTAATTTAAGTGATAATACTCATATATCTGGAATAAATCTTAATATTTATATGCATAAAATGTGTAGCCCGACCAAAAAGTACATATATACACACAGAAAATCACCATATATGTATATATATATATATATATATATATAGAGAGAGAGAGAGAGAGAGATTAATAGTTTTTGAAACAAGATTCACAAATAATTTGGGGTTGGGAATTGGAACAAGAACAGTTGTATGAGAAAGCAGGAGGAGCCGACCAACAGGCAAGTTATATATATGGACCGACAGATATGGATTTGCTTAGTTTTGGATACATTTTCATGAAATAATAATAATAATCTAATGTTAGATTTTTTTTAAGTGGGTCGAATTTTAATTGTTTGTTTGCATATTTTTATTGGTTGTGTCACTTTAAATTCTTCCCCTTGTTGATGTGAGCATGATTTCCATGTATTGTTATTAGATTCAATGAAAAAAGTTTGGTCTTGTCATTACCATGAAGCTTCCCTTTCGCTTGTTTAGGTTCAACGGCAGCATCATCATCATGCAAGGTTGTCTTCTTGGCCTCTTGGCCCCTCTCCCTTTTTTTTTTCTAAAGATTTTTTTTTAATAGTAGTTATATATAGTAGGTCCACGAATCTCAATTAATTTTTGCCACTAAATCTACTTAATTTGCTTATATTTTATGCATTTAAAGTATATAAGAATGAGCTAAAATCAAGATTATCGAATGGATTGTGTGAATGTGTTTCCAAACTGCATCTTATACACATTAGACAAAACCTCTTTTTACATACAAAAAAAGTTGTCTTGAAAAAAATGAACTACGCAAGTGAAAATTTTCAAAACTTTTTTTTATAGAATCTTTTATATATATATGTATATATATTTAAATTGAATAGCTTTTGATTTTCACGGATACAATGCATCATATGGCATTTGTTCGAATAGCTGCTTTATCATATGATCTTTTGAGTATATCGTGATCTTCGTGAACTTGCGTACGGAGAATATAGATGCATGTACTTGAACATGCCGGTGCCTTCTAATTAATAAAATTTATTTTATTTTATCCATAAATTCCTAGTCATACAATCACACGCACACATATATATAATATTAGACTTACATTATACAAGTGTAATTATATCAACACTAATTTTTATATATATAGAGGAGATTTGCATACGAAGGGAGATTCGAAATCGGAAAAATAAGATTTAATACTAGTCGAATCTTAAAATCTTTACAAAAAAAAGATCTAAAATTAGTCCAACAATTATATGAAACCTTTTATTTTCTTTGGCATTGCCCCATATATATGAACATATTGCCATATCTTAATTTTCTGCAACTAGATTTTTATAAACAATATATGAGAGAAGTAATATTTACAGTTTTATTTTTATATTTAACGAAAGCATATATTCAAGTGGTGAATATCCAATACGAACATGTCATTACGTTTCTTAATTTTAATATATACGTTATAGCAGATAGTGGGTTGTCTGCGAATAACGAAACAACTCAAAACATATTTTATATAATTAGTCTTTTTTATTAATAGTTGTATTATTTGTAGTAATTTTGGAGGTACATAAATATTTTTAAAGAGATACAAAAAAATGATAACCGATGAATCAAATATTAAGGAACTGGATGTGAAATTTATTTCGCCCCACCAGTGAACCTTTTTCTAACCAACGGGAAAAAAAAAACATAATACGGTGACATGTTTGGTCATGTATGATATATGACACATGCGTTACGTACGTCTAATCTTGTCGAGAATTTTTGCTTTGTCTACTAATCTAATGTCCTGTCGGTAATTAATTCTCCCTTTAAAAAAAAAAAAAGAAACTATGAAATATTGTGTATGAGATAAGGTGAGAATTGCCATAGGCGTTTTACCATTTTTGAATCATAATTATTGTTAGAAATTCATTTATGTATTAGTGGTACGTAGTAGTACATAAGACATCTTTCTTGGTTTTGTTGATCCATGGAGTTTTTCTAATAAACATAAAAATATAAAAAAATCTTATCTTTATGTAAATAATTTAATGTTTTTCTCTATCATATTACATTTTGGAATCTATTATATTACAATGGTGAAACTCGCAAAACAAGAAAGTATAACCTGACAAATGCACTATATAACTGTATCAAACGAATAAAGGTCGTGCCTTTCATGATGTCTAGTGGACAAACACATGGCTTAGGCGATGGAATATCCATATTTTTGTTTTCAGACGGTCCAATAAATAGCTAAGTGGAAATAGATATTGTGGAAATGTTATCACAAAGGAGGTGTAAAATGTATAAAATCTGATTGAAATCCATCAATGGCATAGAGACAACTTGTGATAGGAACCCATGAAATCTAAATCCACTATGTGATATGTATATCTGATGTAGGATGAACACGAATCAAGTATCCTGATTTTTTATTTTAGAAAACTATTATCTCGTTTTCTTTTTTGTAAAGTCTCAATATCCGTAAGTTTTGAACTTAATTATCTAAAGATATATATATATCCAAATCCGTCAAAATTTTGAGAAAACAATTAAATTTTGTTGAATTCAAGGATATTTTGGTAGTTTTTATTTAAAATATATTTAGATATTATTGTAAATAGATAAAAAAAATATATAAATGATATAAACATCATTTTATTTATAGTCGGTTTCTGGGATAACCCGTTATCGTTCAAAAAATCCGAACCCAGAGTCCAGATTCTTGGCTTCATCGCATCTGTTTTCGACTTCGTTGTTTAGCAGCGTTTCGAATATCCGAAAAATTGAATACCCGAAAACTCGTGGTCTCAAATACCCTAACTTGAACAAACAAAGTAAATGAAGGGCTACAAACACGAAAAGTTACTAATTAACCATAAGCATGAGCCTAATTAACCCAAAGTTAAAAACTCCGACATATATGTTTCATGGATATCACTAGAGTGAGCATATTTCATTAGTGATACTGATAGGAAATTGGGTTTTCCTCGGCCCAGAAAATTGAAAGTCTGTTAATGGACCCGATGCCCAGAAATCTTGGAGCTCTCGGGGATTTTTCTTCTGTCCCTACGACAAATCTAATCTTTATGCATCTCTGTAAACATTTAGTGAACATTTTCCCTTCATGTTCATGAACTGGAGCAGGATTCATGGCCCCGAACTAAAATCTTGTCTGAAATTCCTGTTTCAGAGCCCCAAACGTATCATTTGACTGTACACAGAAGAAGAAAAATCAAATTCTGTGGAGGAATTTCGTTTGAATTTTATATTTTTAATTATAATATCATAATAATGATTTTCTGAATATTGTATTCTTTTGCACTGCCAGTTTATCTTCCTCTCTCTGATTCATCGATGGCTTTCTCTTTGAACCCTCTATCGACTCATAGATTACATTTAAACATTCAAAATCCTCCTCCTCGGTTTCTAATCCAGACAGGATCTCCACGATTTCGAGTTCTTCGCTGCCAGACAAAACCAGAATCCGCCGAAGCCTAGGTAAAAAACCCATCAAAAGAAGGAAGCAAAAGCTTCGATTTTTCTCTCACAATTTCGATTTTTTACGAGTCTGGTCGGATTCTGGGGGCAATTGGCGTAATGGGTCTTGCGTCTCTCGGCTCAGGAAAAGCTGGTTGTTAATGGCGGCTCGGTCGGTGATATGGTTCATCGTCCTCAGCGAAGGCAACGAATTCATCTCCGGCTGATTCTGCTTCTGGGTTCCCGGAATTTCCCACCAAAGATATCAACAGACGAGTCGCGGTCCTGACTGTAGTTGCAGCTTTAGGGCTTTTCGTCTCCACGAGGCTCGATTTCGGGGTTTCCTTGAGGGATTTGTCAGCTTTGGCAGGTTTTTTCCTTTTCTTCCTCTGCATTTGCTGTGGTTTTTGGTTTCCCGGTCGTTAATCGAAATGTCTTTCTCCTGGATGATATGAAGGCTGGGAATTAGGCCTTGTCGAATGGGAAGGCGACCGTGGTGGAGTTCTATGCCGACTGGTGTGAGGTGTGTCGGGAACTAGCCCCTGATGTTTACAAAGTCGAGCAGCAGTACAAGTACGGATCATGTTCTTCTCGTGAAAGTAAGTTACTGAATTTCAGACTCTCTGCATGAATCTGGAATCGAAACTGTGGAAACACCTCACATCTATGAAGATATAGAAACACAGTTCATGATGATTTCAGGGATTTGGGCAGGGACCTGGTTAACTCCGCGATGCTAAACGTGGACAACACGAAGTGGGAACAAGAGCTGGACGAGGTCGGGGTCGAGGGTATTCCCAATTTCGCATTCCTCGAAAGACGGGAAACGAGGAAGGGAATGCAGTATCTACTCGAGAACGTAGATGCTCTTGCTCGTGGTGAGCCGTCCATTCCGCGTGCCCGAGCGGTGGCCGGTCGGTTCTCGAGCCGCTGATTCCCGTAACGCTCATCAAGCGGCCGATCCCAGAAGCCATGGATAGACAGAAAGACAGACCCTCCTCTTCCTTTTCTACTCGAAGTTGTTCCAAGGTGTTAAGTGTGTCTCTTATGTTTTCAGTGCGAATGCTCTGTTTCATAGGATCCATTTTTAGCAATCTTGATCTTTCTCTTGCAGCATTTATCACCTTGAGGCTTGAGTTGTAATTAATTTTATCTTTTATTTGTCACTCAATTAATTTCTCTTCGATGTGCAGCTTTAAAATAAATTAACACATTTACTAGCTAAATTATTTATTTGCTTCCAAAAAATCCGTGAATTTTAAAATTAAAATATATATAAAAAAAATTATCCTTAGCTATTTGACAAATTAAAACCTATCTAACAGCAAAATTAAAATGGTTCAAAACTTCCAAATAAATACTCAACATTTGAATTTGAATTGTATAAAATTCTGATTAACCCCTTGTGAAAGTCACAAAAAGGTTGACGTGATAAATTTAAAAAATAAAAAACCGCACACACATATATAAATATATACCATACATACATCTATATAAAATAAAAATATTTTTGATATATATATATATATTGGTTTTGTATCTGGGTGAATATATGTATCTATGTGTATACAAACATATATATATATATATGCATATATATATATGAGTTCGTATATGTGAATATATATATATATATATATATTAATGTTCCAGATGAGTCTATAGATATTTATTAATGTAGAAATATATACATGCATAATTTGTTTTAATTTCAAATATTGAATATCGGTTTAGAATTTTAGAAGATTTATATTTTTATTAAATTTGAATTCTTTTTATTAAATTTCGCACATTTATTATGATTTTTTGAGATTTTGTTTTGCATTTTACCATTTAATAAATGGAGACTACAATTCATTTGCGAAGAATTCATTAATCAGAGCGCCCACAAAACACGCGTATAAATAACGATCTCTCTCTCTCTCTGTATTTTCTCTGAGAAAATCACGAAGAGTTTTCCGTCATTATTTCTGTTTGGATCGAGAGAAACTGAGATTTCTCGTCGAGCCCTACGGCTGCTCGGGCTCTTCACTGGAAAATCTCTGTCCCTTTTCTTCGATATTCCCTCCTCCGTTCTCTGCGTCACTTCCTTCTTTGCTCCACGAAAACATCCACTTTCTTTATCGGGATTCTTTCCCCTTTATCCGGATATTTCCTTGCAGGTCCCGACATTGAAGGTTTGAACGAGGAGGAGATCGGTGATTTTCAACAATCGGGTCAGATTTATTTATCTCATGATCCATGATTCTATATTTATCCCATTTTGATTCCAATCCTATTCGTTCGTATGCGTGGGTTTAACATTTATTTAGGATACCGTCTGATGGGATTTAGTTGCCGAAATTGAAATGATTTTCCTGTTTTGGTGGTGTGATCGAATGATATCTCTGGCAAGATTCTATTTTCCGCTCAATGTATCTTCTGAATGCTTAGAAACCCTTAATTTTTGCTTTCTTGTGCGAGAAGTTAAACTGAGTAACCCTTCTGAGTTCCTCTTGTTTCGATCTCCCCTTTTTCTTGGGTATTTCTCATTCACAGTGTCGGAGTTGATCAAAATCTTTCGTTAGATCTGTTCGCGACGAATTTCGGTGATGTATTGCTGTTTTGATCGTCCACGAGCGAGCATTCTAACCATTAACATTCTCCAGATGCATTTCATGGTTCATCAGTTGAGTGCCCTCCATCGCATAATTCAAGGTTTTTGTTGCCTGAATCTGCGTTCAGTTTCTCTTTGTACAGATTTTCAGACAGGATCAGAAGCAGATGTCTGCGAATCCATGCGCAGCCTGCAGGCTCAGGAGATGCAAATGCACACCGGAATGCATCTTCGCGCCATATTTCCCCCCCAACCTCCCCCAAAGGTTTGCCATTGTCCACCGCGTCTTTGGAGCAAGCAACATAGCCAAGATTCTCAACGAGCTGCCGGTCGAACATCGGCAGGATGCGGTCAACTCTCTCTTCTACGAAGCGCATACCCGTATACAGGACCCGGTCTATGGCTGCGTCGGCCTCATCGCCTACCTCCAGCAGCGCCTCAAGCAAGTTAATCGAGATCTCGTCTCTGCCAAGACCGAGCTCGCATACCAGTTGGAAGTTGCGGTTAATTCGGCGGTGCCCTATATGCCTGTGATGGGCAACCCCCCTCTGCCGAATTTCACGGCTGTGCCATATGGTTGGGTGCCCGCAATGGGAATGCAGCAGCAGCAGCAGCAGCAGCAAGGACAACATCTGACAGAGTTCGACATGCAGAGGATGGAAGAAATGTTTCTGAACAGAGGAGAACAAGGGAATGTCGGTGGTTATGGGATCGACGTAGATGGCGCGGTCACTGCCACGGGGTTCAACCAGATGGATGCAGCCGGGCCGTCACTGGCTCTAGGCTTCTATTCTGATGCTGCTTATCAGACCGGACAAGAACCCGGGCAAGAACATGGGATTGACCCTTATCAGCTTCAGACACAGCTCGTGCTTCAGCCCCCGACACCTCAGGACCAAACCCCAAGAGGTGAGGCTGCAGATAGGTAATGGAGGGAGGACCCTCTTCTTGATTCAATTCTCCACACAGTTCATCTGATTTTGACTTCCTGAATGGTTATTGAACTGTGTTCGTATTTCTTTTGGGTGAAGAATTAATGTCATAAAGGATTGAGCGGTGGAGGATCTGATTTCAATTGGTATACATAATAACATGGTGCATTGTTAAATAGGATTTTGCTTGTTTGATTGTTTTGAAGAGAGTGTATAATGTGTGTATATATAAGAAAAATGAGTGATGGGTTATAGTTTTTACTCTCAAAAAATTTTAAAATGATAGCGAATTATTTAAATGTAGCATCCAAGGAAACATCGGAAGATTGGATTCATAATTCGGAATCGAACCCGTGATCTAATGTTTCCTGAGACACTAAATTCAAATGATTCACCACCAAACTAGTCCGTTCGGATAATTTTAACATCATACGATTTATATAAATTAGTTTGAAAGATATAATTGTAACAAAAATTTAATATATATATATATATATATATATATATAATAATGAAACAAACTAAGGTTAACAAATTAACCACAATATATAAAATTTAAATAAATATTCCTTAATCTTAAATAACAATGTATATTATATTAGGATATAGAATCCATTTGCAATTATTGTTCACTTGTATATATTTCTACAGAGTGTCGTCCGTTTCAAGTTGAATTCAAGTGCTCATATGGCAAACTATTCACCAAAACTTCAATTCCAGTCTCAATTTTTAAATGACTTTTTTGCCCATCGAATAAAAAGTCTAATTTACGGCCCATTAATCCTTAAAATTTTAAACAATTTACCATTCATTTTTTTTTATTTGGCGAGCATGTGTTGTTCTTGATGAGCAAATTTCAAGATTTTTGCATTGATTTTATATTTATATATGGTAATGGTTTTGTTCTGTTTCTCCTTTTGGTTTCTATAGATTTAGTAATGGATAGAAACAGGTTAATGCATGAACTATAATTTAACACAGTTGAAAAAAAGAGTACATTAATAAGATTTATTTTCAGATTATTCATATCTAAAATAAAAATTATCTATCCAGTATCGGAAACTATTAATAGATCAATGACAATTTATTTTGAGATGATTCTAATATTAAATAAAATAAATCTAATTGAGATTCATAAATTATTATTAGTCGTAGGCCATTCCCCCCATATAGTTCATGGGCTTCTAATGGGCTCGTTGTTTTGGATGAGATGGCCCATCACAAGCCCCTTCCAGACAAGCATCGCAGCCGAATAAAAGGAGGAAGAACGAAGAATAATCATACTCGGAATTAATCTTGCATAATAATTAATTAATTATCATAATAGATGGTAATTTTCTAAATATTGCTAAGATATATGAGGCAAGTTTAAATGAAATATCAGGTTAAAAAAACTAAGAAAAATTCGAAATTCTAAATACAAATCGTTACATGTTGAAGTTGAACCATATATTTTTCATTTTAAAGCTTTTTTTCTGGGTCAAATCATCTAATTTATGAATGTATGTATATCTACATATTTATACACACACACATATATATATATATATATACACACACATGACATGTTGCATGACAGATGTGTATGGATGAAGAAATGAAGGAAGTCCACTTGTTAAAAGCGAGCTTAGTGGTAACGCAATCATCATCATCATCATCATCATCATCATCATCATCATCGGATACTCTGTGTTGTGTTCCCTATAAGATCTCTCCTTGGGAAGCTTCTCTCCAATGTCTAGTGGTTCCAAGAAGCAAGCTTTCTGTTTGACCTCCAACACAATTAAATTTCTGTCCACTCTCCACAATATTAATTAATTATTTAATTAAGACTGATTAAGGTTTCAGTTAATTATGGTTTGTGTTTAAGTAGTTAACTGTGAGCTCATGATCCATTAATGACATGCTCAATATACTATATCAAAATAAAAGTCAACCTATTACATGTGTAAATATTACTACTATCTTTTATGTTATGAACGATTTAATTTGTAAGATGCAAACACTTTATTTATTCTAATAGAAAACACATAAATATTTCAGAATAACTCTTAGCATTATTAGTTACATAAGTAAATAATATAATAATAATAATAACACCAATAACAACAACAACAATGATGATGATGATGATGATTTGAACTACAGCAATTAAGAGAACTTATTAGAGATGGTTGATCCAAATGTGATTAGTTTACTCAGAATTATTATTTCCCGATTTGGATGCAACCCTTTTTTCCTCTTGTGTGGAGAACAAAACAACCATTTAATTGATCATAATTAAATTAATCTGTATTATTATAAATTAATAATAAGCTATTGTGTAATTCTTCGATTCTAAATTTAAGTTGCATTTAATGAGGATCGGTTCTTTGGCGGTGCTCACTTCCTCTTGCCTCTCTGCTTTACCGCCGTCGACCACGGCGGTGTCTAAACACATTTGATATATATATATATATATAATTTTAAACTTGCATTTAAAATTAAACTAGTCCAATGTTTGAATACAATGAGAAAATTTTTTCGTTTCTCTTCTTCATTTCTCTTTTTTGTTCTGCGAATCTCAAAAGCACCAATAAATTTTAAGTTCGACATGAAATTTTGTGTTAGGACTTAGGATTGTGACATGGTTCATAACTGATGCTAGTGTCGGTTCATGATTTGGTTACGTCACATATAATTTTTTGTGATGAATTTATCTTCCATTAATATGAAATTAATGAATAATTAATTCCGTTTTGAGCTGGATTAATAAAAAGATTATAATGTTACCCAAAACAAACCGGTTTATTTATGTATGAAACTTGTGCTAATATCGAAATCGTTGTATCTCGATTCATGAATTTCTACAAGTATCTATCCCAATTAAAATTGGAAATCGCAACTTCTGAATAATAGTTGGGAATTGAATCCTAAGCAACACATAAGCTAGCTGGGAGATTATTTTATACAATTTGACATATAAAAATAATAAAAACGCTCTCTCTTTTTTTCATTCTCTCTTTCTTTTGGTATGATCCGTAATGAAAACTTTGCCGACACACCAAATCCTTAGCAAAAATAAAATTTAAAAATATGGTTATAATGAATAGTACTCTGACGATGATAAATTAGGGATCATGAGAATATGCATGAAGTACGCCGCAAAAGAGAAACAAGCGAGTGCATGGGGATTTGCGCGTCCACGTTGGCCATCCAACGAACTTACGTAGTCACTTCCCATTTACTCAGATTCTATCTGTATTTAAGGTCGTGGCCTCGGGTTGAACCAAAAAGCCAATTCAATTTCATTCAAAGTGTTCCTCTCATAAGATTCTCATATCTTAATTTAGAGAGAGAGAGAGAGAGGGGAACTAATTAAAAAATTTCATTTAATTATATACACAATAATGAGAGAGGTTAATATCCTGCTGCATTGCCTCATATGCTTCTTTGCCTTCTTGGCTCCTGTCTTTGTGAATTCAGAAGACCCGTACATGTTCTACACTTGGACCGTCACTTATGGAACAAGATCTCCTCTTGGTGTCCCCCAACAGGTCTCTTTTCTAACAATTATTCAAATTTTTTTATGTCACTTTATTATTTGATGCAATAATTACACTAATTAATGTTTCTTTCTTGTTGTGTAAATTAGGTCATTCTTATTAACGGGCAATTCCCAGGTCCACCAATCGAAGCCATCACAAACAACAACGTAGTCGTCAATGTCATCAACAAGCTCGACGAGCCATTCCTCATCACCTGGTTCGCCCTTATATCGATTATTAATTATATATATATACACACTATAGTTTATAATGAAGACTTACAGTTTTGGACTCCGTGTTTTGGTAGGAACGGTGTGAAGCAGAGGAGGACATCATGGCAAGACGGGGTATTGGGCACGAACTGTCCGATCTTACCGAACTCGAACTGGACTTACCAGTTCCAACTCAAGGATCAGATCGGGACGTACACATATTTCCCTTCAACGGCAATGCATAGAGCTGTCGGAGGCTTTGGCGCACTCAACATCAACCAGAGATCTGTCATTTCAATTCCTTACCTTCAACCCGATGGCGATTTCACCCTCCTTGTCAGCGACTGGTACAAGATCGGTCACAAGGTATAACCGAAAACCGATAAGATTTGATTTTTTGTTTCCGGCCTAATGATTTCGTTACGTCGGTCTAAACATTTTATTAACGGGTTTCATCAAATAGGAAATGCAAAGGAAGCTCGACGCAGGCATTGCTCTTCCTCTTCCGGATGGTTTAATCATCAATGGAGTTTCAAAGGGTTTGAAATTTCACGGCCAACAAGGTGATAATGCATGAACACATCATTCAAACCAATTCAAGAAACATCAGCGTTTCAGTTCTTGATGGAACTTGATCTTTTCTGTCTTTTTTTTTTGGTCAGGCAAGACATACAAGTTCCGGGTATCGAATGTTGGGATTGCGGCATCGATAAATTTCAGGATCCAAGGACACACGATGACACTGATCGAAGTGGAAGGATCTCATACTCTGCACGAGGTCTACGAGTCACTCGACGTCCATGTCGGTCAGTCGGTGACCGTCTTAGTCACGTTGAGGGCTATGGTTAAGGACTATTTCATCGTGGCCTCGACCCGTTTCACCAAACCGGTGTTAACCACCACTGGTATCCTCCGGTACATTGGCTCCAAAACTCGAGCCTCTCGTCCCCTCCCCATTGGCCCTACTTACCATGTTCACTGGTCCATGAAACAAGCTCGAACCATAAGGTATATACACACATATATATAAGTTATGATCTCATGAACTTGACTATGTATAGATTGGTTGATGACTTATATCGAGATTTCTTTTCACGGGTATTTGTTAGGATGAATTTGACGGCGAATGCAGCGAGGCCGAACCCACAGGGATCTTTTCACTACGGTACCATACCGATAGTTCGCACTCTGGTTCTAGCCAATGCAGCCGCGAAGATCAATGGCAAGCTCCGTTACACGGTGAACGGTGTCTCGCACGTGGACCCGACCACACCGTTGAAACTGGCCGACTGGTTCAACATCCCGGGCGTGTTCGATCTCAAGACCATAAAGGACAGTCCTGTCCCTGGAGGACCGTCCGTTCTCGGTGCATCGGTCATCGGTGTCGCTCTCCATGACTTTGTCGAGATCGTATTCCAAAACACCGAAAGATCTGTCCAGTCGTGGCACATGGATGGGACAAGCGCATATGCTGTAGGGTAAGCCGCTGTTCTTTGAATATATATAACATAATCTTCGCCCATTTCACGTAGTTGATTAGTAAATGAAATTTTATTCAGATACGGTAACGGGACATGGACCGCAGCGATGAGGAAACGTTACAACTTGGTTGACGCTGTTGTAAGGCACACTTTCCAGGTAATAAAAAGACTATATTAAACGATTGTTACAAGTAGAAACTTGACGTCCAAGTAACAAGTCATCGATCGATTCACCAGTTCTAAAACTATATATACATGTGTGTGTGTGTGTGTGTGTGTGTGTATAGGTGTATCCATTGTCGTGGACGGCGATATTGGTGTCATTGGACAACAAGGGGATGTGGAATCTGCGGTCTCAGATATGGTCGAGGAGATATTTAGGGCAAGAGCTCTATGTTCGTGTCTGGAACGACGAGAAGTCGCTTTACACAGAGACCGATGTTCCTCCCAACGCACTTTACTGCGGCAAAGCCAAACGCCCCGCTTAGATGAATTTTATTGTTATTGTTATTATTATTATGATTCGATCCATCATCGATCATTTCGTTTTCTTTTTTATATATATTTTTTTTTCGGTTTGCGTTATCTTTTCCTAATCGTTCGGGTTTGGAGATTTGGCCACGAGGGTCGTGGCATTACAAGAAGAAGAAAAATTATATATATACACGTGTAGTTTGAACGATGCGTTACTTTTTAATCAATGCCTCATTGGTTGTAATAAGAAATTTTCTTGTTATTGAACTCGTTCTAGTTCAACATTTTATATGCAATAATGTATTGGAGCATTTACTAGAGTTTCCTACATGGCAGTATAGAAAAAAATATTTTTTTAAATTTGAGCAATAAATATATTAACTTTTAATATTATATAAGAACATGTAAATTTTAAATTTTTTCGTATAAATTCACACAAATTTATATAAAATACATAGATTTAAAAAATTTTCGCATACAATCATACAAAAAATTCAATGGAATTTAGTGTTCTTGTGGCTTTACGTTATATTTTTATACAAAATTAGAAATTTATATATTTATTTACCAAATTAAAAAAGTTTATGTTTTTTTACGATATTTCCTATTTGAATATATATAAATTGAGAAGGCATATATATATAACTCTACTCGACAAACCAATATCATTATCATATGGAACTAAATCATTATCATACGGAACTAAATCATTAATGATATTCTTATTGTTAGGTGATAAGAATGGACTTCCCAGGTGGTTCTGATTTCGAAATCCATCATCTCTATTGCTTTTATTAAATAGAATGAATCTTTTACGGTTGTAACAAAAAAAAGCGAATATATATATCCTCTATAAATTGTGATGGAAACACACCGAAACAACACAAATTTAAAAAAAAAAAAAAAATGGAAGAGGCAAATAAGAAACACCACTTCGTTCTAGTTCACGGTGCATGCCAAGGGGCGTGGTGCTGGTACAAAGTGAAGCCACGGCTCGAGGAGGCGGGCCACCGGGTCACGGTGATGGACCTAGCCGGCTCAGGAATAGACGTCACCCGAACCATTAAGGACGTTAACACGTGCGTAGAATATTCCGACCCGTTGATCAAGATTCTCGGCTCGTCACCGCCATCTGAGAAAGTGGTGCTGGTCGGCCATAGTTTCGGAGGAATGAGTTTAGCCATTGCGAGTGAAAAGTTTCCGGACAAGATCTCTGTCTCTGTCTACTTGACAGCTTTCATGCCCGACACCAAAAACCCTCCATCTTTCGTTATCGACAAGGTTTTTTTTTTTTTTTGGTACATTTGATGATGATTTCTAACATATACATATATATATATATATATACATATGCGGTATATATAACAAAATGGTGGCAGATACTGAGCAATATGCCAGAAGAATCATGGATGGGAACCAAGTTCGAACGTTATGGACATGACAAAACCGGCATCAGTATGCTCTACAGCCCAGAGCTCATGAAGAAGAAGCTTTACAAGCTTTGTCCGGTTGAGGTGAATCAAAACTAAATCAAATGTTTATCCGTAAAATACAAAAAAAGATATAAACCTTTCATATTCTTGTAATGTTTTTGTAGGATCTTGAGCTTGCGTTATCGCTGCTGAGGCCCGGATCGTTGTTCACGAATGCTCTGTCGAAGATGGAGAAGTTCTCGGAGAAAGGGTACGGATCTGTTCGTAGGGTGTTCATAATGTGCAAAGGCGCGAAAGCTATGGCGGAAGAACAGCAGAGATGGATAATTGAGAATTCTGGTGCGAGTGAAGTGATAGAGATGGAGGATACTGGCCATATGGCCATGATATGCAAGCCTCGACAAGTTTCTGCCCATCTCCTTGAAATCGCAGACAAATACGCTTAATCATCTATGATGCATAATCAAGATCTCTATATATATATATATGGAAGAAGGGTTTGATGTAATGAATTACAGACAATAAAAGGTTGCAGATAAAACATGCATAAAGCCCTAATCGGTTTCACTGTGTATGATTACAAGCTCTTGTAACTTACAGTTCCATCACTGTCATAAACCGACAAGTTAGTCCTCCGTTGCTTGCTCTGAAACATGAGATGGGACGCAGTTTGGTGAAAGAGCGTTATTCCATGGTTAACGACGTGCTGTTCGAGATTTTGGCCTCGAAGATTTCTGCAACAGAAGAGAAAGATACAAACGAGATATCGTTAACCAAGTTATAGTTGGCTCTTGACAAGGAATTCGTCGTTAAAAAAGGGTCCTACGGATAATATCGAACGAAACAACGAGAGTATTTAGGAAATGGTACTTACCGATACAGTGCCAAAGCTGGCCCCCGAACCCATTGGAGCACCTGCAAGAGAAAAAATAATCTTAAAGAGAATCTGCGGGACAGGACCAAGAATGATCCAAGCAATTGTCTGAACCAATCAATTCGCAGGGAATTCCCAGGAAGAAGATTCCTACTCATGAGCTAATATAACATTACAATATAAGAGGAGAATTTAGATGCTGACAGTAGATAGATAGATAAGTACCAGTACCAAATGGTGTTGCGAATCCCGGGGAAGGTGTAACGCCAAGGGACGGAGTTGAACCGCCGAACAAAGATGGGGTTGAGGTCGGTCCAAACAGAGTAGATGATGCTGAAC